TGGGGTTTTCAGGTTTGTTGAAGTCATACTGGCATCTGGCCAGTCCTATGGCACAGTACCCTTTGTAATGGCAGGTTACACATACTTGTCAACAGTTTCATAATTTTACATACAAGCTTTCAAAACTCTTGGGTGGATTCCATCCTAGACCAATGAAATAGCTGGTTTGATAATTTAGGTTCATTATCAAACTGGTTTTAATTTAAGTCTAAAACACACCTCATGTTGTAGATATGGGCTTGCTGAAACAATCTGAGAACATTGTTAACATCTGCAGGAAAGAACAGTCATACAACTTATTTAGACTCTAGTTGTTCTTTAACTTTCCTTTTTTTTTTTAATTGAATTTTTTCAGGTGACATGGGTTAAAAACTTCCCTTTCCTTGAAAGCCTTCCTTTTTTAGTCTCTATTACTTAACCCCTGTTCTCCAGGTCTTTCTCAAGTCACCAAAGCTCTAATGCAACCTCTCTTCAGCTTCCATACTCACCCGATCACGTCCACCCTTAGCTAGGGACACATTGGCAACAGGGAAGGAGCAGAGTAAGGCGGTGGAGGAATCACAGTCGGTCCTAAATGAGGATGACACTGCTAAGTTATGGAGTCTGCCTCACCTGTCTGCACCCCTCGTTGGCCCCCTAGCACTGCCCCCTCCTGTCCCCGCCCCTTCCCTCAGAGCAGGCACCCCTCTCTGTTACAGAGATGGAGCAGAAATCAGCTGGCAGATTCAGGTGCTTCTTTGGTTCTCTTCCTGCTACTTCAGCCTATTTCCTCTCACAGAGCAGACTTTCTTCAGTGGGAATCTACAGACACTTAGTTGAAAAGTTTCAGGCTTAAGTGTTTCTCACACTGAGAGCTTGATAAAAATGCAGATTCCTGGGTTCCACACCCAGATTCTGATTTAGTAGTTCTGGTCTGGGGCCTAGTTCCAGAGGGATCCACAGATGATCTTTAAGAGGCTGATGAACCCCCTCAAGTTGTAGGCAAAATTGCACATGGGCATGAGTGTGCAGCATATGTGGGCACTCTGATATGTTTTTACGGCAGGGAGAGCCATAGCTTTCATGAGATCCATACCTCCTAAAAGTTTAAGCAGCTCTGCCTTACAAATTACAGCTCATGACCAGGGAATCAAGAC